AACCAGTTTAAGTGATCAGAAACTGGTTTAAACCTGTAACAGAAGAGATGGTCAGTGCACATAAACCAGTATGAGAATGGCTCGAGTTGGTTTGAATGTAGTATCAGATTTAACTGATTTGGCTCAAATCAGTTTATGCAATGTCTGTCCCAGGCCCCTTGCGAGTTTAGATTAAATCAGACTCCCCCAGCATCCCGGCATGCTCTCTGGGCTGGGCGGAACTCTCTGTTTGACAGCAGGACTGGCTTCTCCCCTCTTCTCCCTGGCTGTAGCACCCCCCACCTCCCCTCACCACTCCCTGCTAAGCATGAATTCCCTGCTCTCCTCTGCCTTGTTGAGGATGTGTCTGTGTATTAGCTAGCAGACTACATGCTGGCTACAGTGTGTGATGAATCAACAGGCAGAATCAACAAGTAGCTGGTAATGTCACTCTGTTGTTTTGTTAATTGGGTGATAAACACTGTTATCAACTCCCTGTTGGGCCAATCAGAGCTCTGGCTAGGGCCTAGCCATGCCCCTCTCAGCTCCATGCAGTAGAAGGAAAGGAGGGCTGCTCTAGCACCCCCTGGCTTCTAGCCTTTGCCACTGCGGACATGTGCCTGCATTTCTGGGACGTCTGTTCAGTTAAAAAACTGATTTAGCCTATCCAGGTTAGACTAACCTGCAAAGATTGAATCAATTCAGGCTCAGACATTTTGAATGTCTATTCCTAGCCCCTGTGACAACAGTCAGTACAAAAAGTTGGTTTAAGTCAGAGAACTCTTATTCAAGCATTTAGCCTGCCATGGGGCCATAACATTCTAGAAAGACATTTATGTGTCTTGACAAAGGCCTGTTCCACTCTGAAGTTTTTTGCTTAAAGTAAAAGCTATATTAATATGAAATAGAGGATTTTTGGCAATTTTATTTTTGTTACTACAGGACCTAACATAAATTTATATACATTATTCCTACTTTTATATTGTTCCTAGATTTTTTTTGTCCTCTTTCTCCTTCATTGAATGCTGAACACTGATGAATAGAGTTGGAACTTTAATTCATATTTAAAGTAACTAAATAAAAGTGCACTGGTTTTGACTATTAGCTTATTTACTAATGAACTTAATGGAAATTTTCAGCACTCAAAACCAGGAAAAGTCAGCCATGAATATGTGTATCTTAGGTGACAAAACATGAATATAACATTTTATATTAGGATTCACTGTGCCAGAAAACATGAACAAGAAAGAACATGACTCTCTAGACCAGGGGTTACCAAAGTTTTTATGTCGTGGCCCAGCAAACTGCAGCCTGAAAGTGGCCACAGCCTGGCAAACCACAGCCCAACAGTCACAGCTGACCATGGCCAGAATTTCTGGCCAGAAGACAGGTAAGGATACCCTGACTCTCTGAGCGGGGGGGGGGGGGGGGGCAAATTTTGTGGGGGGGGGGAGGGGCAAATCTTGTGCTGCCACAGGCCCTGCAGAAGAAGCCGCAGCCTCTTCACCTAGATCTGGGGGGCTGTGGTTTGCCATGCTGTGGCCACTTCTGGTCTGGCAGCTGACCCATTGTAACCCGGCACTGGGTCGCAGGATGGGGATTGAGAACCCCTGCTCTAGACTACTGGTTAAGTCACTCAGCTGAGATGGGATGTCCTGGGTTTTTTCCAATGATATTTTGCATATTTTAAAATTCCCAGGCCACCAATAAACACTAAGTTACAATGTCATACTCTCTTCTTCTGTCTCACCACCCCTCAGGTCCAATTAGCCCTGAATAATTTTAAGCCAACTGGTACAGTTTGAATTCAGAGTGTAAAATACACATATCAAGATGGCTATTGCTACATCATTATCCTAGAAAGGCAAAGTTCTGGTTTTGAATTCCCATTAGCAAGAGGGAATTCTGGAAACCTAGATTATACTAACCACAAAATTGTTGAGTGAAGTGACCAGGCCCCGTTCTTTAGATCTTGAATTGACTAGAAGTTAGATGACTTCTAACTAAATGTATTAATTTTTGATGAATCCCTTCCTAAGCAGATGGAATCAAAAGCATCAAAAGGTCACAAAAGCATTGGATGCAGGTGTCGCCGTGGATGTAGTCTTTCTGGACTTCAGCAAGGCCTTTGACACTGTCTCCCACCCCATCTTCATTAAAAAACTAGGCGACTGTGGCATCAATGCCTACACAGTCAGATGGATTGCAAATAGGCTGAAGGGTCGTACTCAGAGGGTGGTGGTGGACGGGTCATATTCGACCTGGGGGAAAGTGGGCAGCGGAGTCCCCTAGGGCTTGGTCCTTGGATCCACACTGTTCCATTTCTTTATCAGCGATTTGGACGACAGGGTGAAAAGCAACCTGTTCAAATTTGCTAATGATACCAAAAACTGGGGTGAGATGGGCATGCTAGTAGGGTGGGAAAGACTGCAGAAAGACCTGGATAGGTTACAAGGGTGGGCTAACAAAAACAGGATGTGTTTCAATATGGACAAGTGCAGGGTGCTGCACTTGGCCAGTAGTAACCAGCAGCACACTTATAAGATGGGAAACTCCCTTCTTGAGAGCATGGAGGCAGAAAGGGATCTTGGAGTCATCACTGACTCCAAGATGAACATGGGCCAACAATGCGAGATCACGGTCGGCAGGGCTAACCGGACCCTATCATGCATCCACAGGTGCATCTCAAGTAGGGCCAAGGAGGTGATCCTCCCCCTCTACGCAACACTGGTCAGGCCACAGCTGGAGTACTGTGTCCAGTTCTGGGCACCTCACTTTAAGAGGGATGTGGACAACATTGAGAGGGTCCAGAGAAGGGCCACCCGCATGATCCGGGGACAGCAGGGCAGACCCTACAGTGAGAGGCTACAGACCTGAACCTGTTCAGCCTTCACAAGAGAAGGCTGAGGGGGGACCTGGTGACCATCTATAAACTAACTAGGGGGGACGAGAAGGGTTTGGGGGAGACCTTGTTTCCCCTAGCGCCCCCCCGGGATAACAAGGAATAACGGCCACAAGTTGTTGGAGAGTAGGTTTAGATTAGACATCCGTAAGAACTACTTCACAGTTAGGGCAGCTAGGATCTGGAACCAAGTTTCATGGGAAGTGGTGCTGGCTCCTACCCTGGGGGTCTTTAAGAAGCGGCTCGATTCCTACCTGGCTGGGGTCATTTGAGCCCAGTTTTTCCTCCTGCCCAGGCAAGGGGTTGGACTTGAAGATCTACAAGGTCCCTTCCGACCCTACTTCTATGATTCTATGAGTCCCACCATGCACTGCATTGGTAGTCTAAGCACCTCACAAAGGACTATGGATTCCCCTTCTAGTGTCAGGCTCTAAAATTCTTCATCCATCTGGCCTGAGGTCCCTAAATGCAGATTGCCATATCTGAAAATCATGGGTTATGGATATTTCTTGAGGTCTCACAAATTAAAAGAAGTGTTCAGAACAAAGCTTCAGTCTCCTAGGTAGGGGGGACAGATGATAAAAATACAGAGGAAGATGATATAAAGTTGCACAGGCTAGAGGAGGCCAGCACCTCTTTTCTGATCTAAAGGAAGATATAGGCTGAAAATTTTTATTCCTAGTCATACATAACGGAGAAAAAAATTACTTGAGCCAATATAGTATTAAATGATATAATCTAAGAGCAAGCCAATCTGTTTCAATTTAAATAAGCAAACATAAGCCTGAATCAAATTTGTTTCAAAATTGCTCCTCAACAGTGCCTATTTACTCACAATTGTATTATTTACTGCAATGAATACATTTCAACCAAAATCAAAATATTTTTTAAGGAAATAAATATAAATTATGTATGGAGGCTGTGCAATCTCCATCTTGGAAGTTATTTAAGGGGAGGATAGACTAGTGGCTCTCAACCTTTTTGAACTCAAGGCACCCCACTCCATAACTCTCTAGAAAATAGTGGCACCCCATTTAGTGGCACCCAGGTTCCTGGCCCCACAATTTTTAAAGCAGGGCTCTGTTGCCCAACTACATAGTGTCCGTAGAAGGAGAAAGCTGGGGTCACATGAAAGCCGGCTTGAGAAGGCTTTCCTCATGTTAGTTTCCAGCCCTGAGGGCTTTAAATGCCATGCGTGTGGCCCAGCTGGGTGCACACAGTGATTTAAAGCCTGTAGGGCCTGGAAAAAAGAGCCAGAAAAGCTCTTCCTGGGGTAGCTGTGACAAAGCCCCTGCCTACACTAGAATCCCAGGTGTGTAGAGTGGGTGGGGGCTTTGCCAAAGGCTCAGTCCACTCAGCTTCTGGACACTAGGAATTGAGCAGAGGAAGCAGCACTGACCCCTGCCAGCTTCTTACTCAGGTGTCCCTGGAGTGAGAGGCAGGAAAGGGGCTTTGCTCTGCTGGTCCAGTCAGCTCAGGAATGGGAACATCTGTCCTGCTCTCTCTCCTGGCATCATTTCTAATGTGAAAATTTTCTACTGGCAGAAATAGAAATTTGTACAATGACCTGTTAAACTGGTTCTGCTTGAGAATGGAAATAGAAAGTTGCCCGGAATTGAGGTAATAATCATATTTAATACTTCAATATAACAATGAAGTTGTTAAAGTAGTGGAAGTCCAGAGCCTTGAGGGTTTTTTTCCCAGCTCCTCCAGACCCTAATTGTTTAATTCTGATGGCACATGTTTAAATAGTATCTCAAGGACAGTCACCAAATCTATATTTCATCACTGGCATCTACCTAAATATCCTGAATTTCAGAAACTATGACTTGCCCATGAAAATCTAAAGTTGGGATTGTTCAGCATTTTACAGAATTGGAAATTAAACTAAGCCTTATGACTTTTCATGTAAAGAAATATTAGAGCATTATTCCTTCAAGAAAAGGATCAACCCCTTGTATTTTAATATAAGGATGTAAAGAAACTACATATAAACAGTAATTTTTTTCAACTCATAATTGAAATCGAAGCACTGTCATCATTATTGACTTGTAAACATTAATTATACAACTGATTAAATTCCTAACAACTAAATTGTGCATTACTCTGAGACTCTTTTTGAATTATCAAAGCCTCTTTTACATATTAAAGCATCAACATGTAGAAGCAGTGGATTCATTCACAATTAATTTGTTACTATTCCTAAAGAATACTGTGATCAGTTACATTTCTAAAAATGTGAATTAACTCAAATTCCTTTGGGGGGGGAGGGGGAGAATCTTATGGAAAAGAGGTTATATAAATGTGACTCCAAGTTACAATGCAAAAGTTTAAAGGTGAGCTAGATGGTAATATCTCCCGTTTAATCTCCTCAACTATTTTCAAGTCATTTTCATAAATCACTATTTTCTGATACCAGTTTGTTTTTAATTTGAATTGTCATATCATTATTCAAGTGGGTTGCTAAAGACATTTTTTAAAACAACAGAGTCGGCAACAAATCACACTGTATTTGTTCAGTATTCCAGTTGAGAGAGATTCCATGAGTTGAAATCATTTTTGTGCAAAGGCCAACAGAAGTCCTTTGTTCAAGCTATACAAAATTTCCAACAGTCAGAATAGGCAGGCAGATACAGTCTGAGAAGATTTATGCATATGCGGCAGGAGACCAGTAGCAGGTAAGAGCAGGGCAGGATGGGAAGCAGGGACCTCCACTCTTTATAGAAAAATCTTATAAAACTTAAAGAAAAATCACAGAGTAATTTAGGAAGCATCTAACAGAATTTGATTTACCTTCTGGAGCATCCAAGTATACCATCCAACTAATATCATCTTCTAGGATGCTACATCTATTACACATGACTCACTCATGGCATGAATCACCTAAGTAAATGGGAATGTTGCTGAATGCAAGAACTATAGTTATGATTCAGTCTTTGCAAACTTAAAAAGTGAAGGCTCTGTATCTTCTTTGCTATTCTACTCATCCCCTCATAAACAGGCCCATCTTTATGGTAGCTGGATATCTGCAACCCCATGAAGGAGCTAGCTGCAATTTGGACCTATGCAAAGAAGCTTTCAACTAATCAAAAGCTCCAATCCTGGAATGTTCTAGTTCAGTTTTTGTCAAGTTACATTTTATGAGCAAATTCTTTTTCGTTCCATTTCTCTCACCAAGTAAATAGCAACAACACCCTACTGAAACTAAAAAAGAAGTAGTAAGTTTATTACAATCTTATAACAGAAAAAAATCCTTCAAATTTCCTTCAGAGAAAGAACAAAATTATTTTATTTTTTAGAATCTACTTATTTATCTTCTAAAGAATGTATTATCCTATTACATGCTTTAAGAATATGCAGCTATAATTATATATGGCAAACAAAATTATTTAAATTTATTTAATATTAGAGTGATGTTGTAGCCATAGGGGTCCAGGAGTTATGTGAGAAGCAAAGAACTTTTGGGGGTGATATATTTTATTAGATCAACTGCTTGTTTGGAATAAAGTCAGATAAGCTTTCAAATTCAAGACATTTTTGTCAGGTTAAATTTATTTATTTATTTAGACTGGCTCCTTCTTGGAACATTCATTGAGAATATAACAATTTACCTTCACAAGATGCCACTGAAAGTTGGCATTGCGCGATTATATCATTTACAATCCATCAAATGTCTTAAATTATTAATACAAATCTTATATGAGCATTCATTTCATATTTACCATTCCAAACACTGAAAATATTAATATTAGTCTGAACAGGTAGTATATGCCTATTGTGTCAGTTAAATGCAAAGCTGTGTTCTGCAAACACCATTCAGCTGGCATCTCACAACAGAGAAAAGACTAGAAGAATAGTAAACCTTGACAAGTTGGTGGAGCTCCATCCATCTGTAGTCTTTCTCCCAATCTACACGTCAGAATCTCATTACCAACCAGTGTAAACCCCGGTTGACACTGGTACCTTATTATGTCTCCTATTTGAAAAAAAGAAGATTATTTTTAAAAAACAGTTAGGAGGGACTTTTAACTTTGACAGTACCATTGATAAATGAAGTACTCTTTCTGCTGTATATAATGTGTTAAATGACCACCAACCTAATCACTTAATTAGTTGGAAGAAATGTAAATAAGCATTGTGCTGCACATTGAGACATATTTATCGTTGGTTTAAAATATAGTTTTATCCCAATAATTACACTGGGTTTAGTTTTAGCTAATTTCCTAAATAAACCATATGTCTGACAAGTTTTATTTATTTATTGTGTAGTCATCATGGTACTAAATAAAGGTATAATGGCAACAGACTGACTGCTGAAATCTTTATTCAGAGAATATATCCAGTTACTTGAAAAAGAGTTTTGCCTCAGTTAAAACTTCAGGGTCAGGTTCAAAATTGGAAAGCTCAAATTAAGAACTGCGTTTGTTATTTCACAAAATTCTTCATATTTTTTTTAAATTAGTGATTGAAAAAAATGCATCCTAACAGTTATAACCATGGTGACTTGAGAGAAAAGTGAAAAAATAAAGATTTTAAATTGCAATTTCCAAGAATGTATGCCGAAAAGAAGAAAACAATAATTTATAATATTTAGAAAAAACTAGCTTGTAAGTCAGTGGCAAATTTCAATAATGCAAGCAATCCAAGGCTTAAGATCATTTACAAAACTTTAAAATATATTTTTAAATATTTTAGGATTGGCATCTACTGTGCAGTATTTGAACTGTGCAAATAAATATATGGGGGGACGGGGGAATTGTTATCAAATACACTGTTTGACAAGCTGTTCCTGTGTCAGCTGCACTTCTTGAAACATAACTAGAACTCAGCAAGCAGATATATTCGAGGAAAAATGGCTTCTTCCATATTTTATTTTAAAATCCAAATGGATTTGTGTTTTGTGAAACTATTAATTCATTCTGCTATTTATGCTGGTTCTTAACCAATGCAGAGCTTACTTTAGATAAGTTTAGCATTTCTCCTTGAAATACATTATGATCATACATTTAACAGACATTACCTATTTCAAATTCATCATCCTCAGTCAAAATTTCAGCATTTGGTATACTTGGTGGAGGCTGACACACTCGAAGCTGGTAAGCTATAAAGACAAAGAAGGTACTGAAATGAATATCCTGCTTAACAGATAATCAACAAACAACAACCATATTGTTACATTGTGTAGAACATAATCTAAAAGAAACCATAAAATATGGAGTTCAAAATATTAAGTATGCGAAGATGTAGATACATTTTTCCAAGTTAAAGGTTCCCACTATCTTAAACATCCAAACAGTATTAAGAGGAAAATTCTTCTTGTGCATAGTCTGGGAACACCACAGAGACTAATTCTGTCTGCAAACCAACGTTGCACTGGATCCTACATCCCTGTCAGATGTTACAATTAAGACATGGTTAACCAGTTAGTCATGTCTTAAGTAGTAACCAAGCCACATATTCATGGAATTAATGTCTCAATCAGTTGATCAGCAGTCCTGGCATTGGGAGCACAGCAGAACCTTTAGGCTAGAGACAAAGATTACACATACACTGGATTAAGTGATGAGAAACTGGTTTAAACTGTAACAGAACAGATGCTCAGGACACATAAACCAGTTTGAACATGGCTGAAACCAGTTTGAGATAAACTTGGTTGTATATAGTATCAGATTTAACTGATTTGGGTCAAGCCAGTTTTTCCAATGTCTGTCCCAGGCCCCTTCATGGTTTAAATTAAACCAGACTGGGCCAGCATCCCAGCATGCTCACTGGGCTGGGGGGAGGGGTGGGGCTCTCTGCTCCACAGTAGAGCTGGCCCCTCCCATCTGCTTCCTGGCTGCAGCTCCAACAGAGACTGCAGACATCTGCCTGGCTTCCTCCTGCTCCCCATCTCCCCTCATCACTCCCTACTAAACAGGAATCCCTCCTCCCCTCTGCCTTACACAGACACCTCTGAGCATTACCTAGCAGACCACATGCTGGCTACAGTCTCTGATGTAGCAGATGGGACAAAGGCAGAATCAACAGGTAGCTGGTAATATCCCTCCGTTGTTTTCTTAATGTGCTAATAAGCACTGAGTTAGGGGTGATACACACTGTGCTATCAATTCCCTGCTGGGCTGGTCGGGGGGTGGGTGGAGGTGGAGGAACCACTCTCTAATTAGAGCATCCTGCCAGGGCCTGGTCATACCCCCCTCAGCTCCGCATCTTGAAGGGGAAGGGAGGGCTGCTCTAGCATCTCCCTGGCTTCTAGCCTGAGCCACTGCAGGCATATGCCTGCATTTTTTCAGCCCAGAGGGGATATCTGTGAGGTTACAAACTTATTCAGCCTAGGCAGGTTAGACTAACCTGCAAAGAGTCAATCAATTCAGGCTCAGGCTTTTTGAATGTCTGCCCCTAGCCTTAAGGTCTCCTGTGTGCTCCTGTGGCTGGGAGCACCAGTCGGCTGATTGGCACTACCAGCCGGAAAAGTATATAGCAACCCATCGCTCTGGTGTGTTCCCATGGCTGAAAGCACCAGTCAACTGATCATCTCTCTGAGACTTGGCAGCATACTAGAGCTCTTTATACTCCAATGCACTCCTGTGACTGGGAGTGCTAATTAGCAACTGGCACTGCCAGCTGCAGGAGCGCATTGGAGCAAATGGCTCCCATGTGCTGCACTGGTTGGGAGCGCTGATCAGATGACTGGTGCTCTAAGCCACAGGCACACAGGGCACCCTTGCTACTTCTCAGCTCAGGTGGACCCTAAGATCCTGTTCCTGCACACTCCCTGCAATGGCTGTAGGGCATGATCTGGATCTGATCTCTGATCCTACAACTGTGCCTCCTGTCATGTACGTGTGGTGTGGCAGAAGACATGATTGTTGAGATTATTGACCTGACCCTGTTTTGGTTTTAATTGAATGTCTTTCAAAAGTCCTAGTAGACTTGTTCAATGTTTTGTTTTGTATCTTTATCACAAACTTTTCCTATCCAAAACCAATTTGAAGTAGAAAAATCTTCTATCCAAACATAGAATACCTCAGTAGCATAACTGGGTTGGTTGTGGGGAGGGGAAGAAGGGTGAAGCAGGTGAAAAATAAAGCAAGTATTCCAAAAAGTAGTTCTACAAGAAGATTTTTTTTCAATCATTATCATTTGATGCATCAACTACACTCCAAAACAATAATATTTGAAAACAATGGCTTAGCCCCTTTCTGCAAGTCACACGATAGAAAATCTGTGGGCCAGATTCTCATCTGAATTAATATGCTTAGCTCCAATGCAATCACTGAAGCCACTCAACTTGACAGCAAATATGGATCTGGCTCATCTCTCCATGAAAAAGATTAATTCATATTGTATGTTTATATAGAAAAACAGATCAGCAGCAAAACAGAACATCAACTGAGCTAAGTGTTTTGTTCTACTGTAATGCATGCAACAGAAACAACAGCAGCAGCAGCATCAAATATTTAAAAGGTACTAAGCCAACTCTCAGTAAAGTATGCCAGCTCAATTAGGTTGCCCAGGCTGTTGAGAGGAGAGAGAGTGCTTTACCTGTTCTACCCACCCCTGTCTATCTCCACGAGGAAAGGATGCAGCAGTTCTAGGAATCCTGCTTCATCTCCCATGCAGCTTCCTGGTCTATACTTTAGAACTGTAAAGGCTTCAAGTCCTTGCACCATTGTGTTCATTCATTCCTAATTTGCCCCTTCAACCAGAGAAGCATTGGACCTGCTGTGATCAACTAAAGAAGCTACTCACAAAAGGCTTTGTGTTGATGCTAGTTAGTACTTGATATCTACTCTCCACCCTGCTTTTTTTGTCTTTTGCACACTGAAGAAGCTGTTAAATCAATACATCACTGACTTATCCTGCCTTGGGATGTAATATAAAAGAAAGCACATCTAGGAAACATGGAACAACTCTTCTACTTACAATCCAAAAAATATTTTAAAAATCACCAATTCAATAAAAAATGGCTTCAAACAGGAATCCAGATAATGTATTTCATTAAAAGAGAAATCAGTAATTTAGTTCCAAAGCTATCTATGCTCTATATTTTTTTCTCCATCACTTTTATTGTTGTAAGTTGCTCACACAGGATGTAAAGAATCATGAATCACGAGGCCAAAAAGTATACAGCTTGGTAGACATATAAGAATGATCCAAAAAAAGACTAGGGATAAGATTCACAAAGGAACTGGGTGCTTAAAATGGGACTCATGTAGAAGAGGTGCTTACATTGAAGTAAATGGTTCACAGAAACTGTCTAACCACTTGTCCTTGGGAAAGATAAGCATGCCCTTGGGAACATGGTGCTGAGCACTCTGCATCCCACAAAAATCAGCTGACTGACCCCAGAGACAAAGTTCATCAGTGAGGTTGTTCTGAACTCCCCAGTGCCTGTTGTTGAGAGACAACTCTGAAAGCAGACATTGCCAATGAGTCCAGAACAGCCTCACTAGCAAACTTCCATCCATGCAGCATGTCAGAAGACTTGGGTGGGCAGAGTATGCTCAGGTCTGCCCTCTCTCAGACCTGACCTGGCATACACAAAATTGTAGACATCACAGATTCCCTGGGGGTCTACATTTTTGTCTGAAAACGTACTTAAGTACAGTTCACCTGCAGCATATGATCAGATACGTTGCCTCCTTAGGTCAGTGCAGACCTTAGTACCTATCTCCTACCAAAATTCTATTGAAATTCATAAGTTGGATGTCCAAGCCCCACGTCTCTGGAGGAGGTAGAACTGCTAGGGGTGATCTGAGCATGGCTACCACACTTGAACAGCATTAAGTTTGGTAGCCCTGGTTACTTTTATTCACAAATAAGGAAAGGCATTTGTCATAATCTTTATGCAATAGCCTATTAGTTGCAGCAGTCACCCAGAATCTGAAGACTTAGATCACATCAGCCTGAGGAAGTTCAAAATCACATCACCTGGGAAAACACTCAACAATTAGTCTATAGGCTAGACAAATAGAAACCAACCTTTTTGGAAGGTGTGCCACAAATAAGCCCTGCACCCCTCCCTAGTGCCACACCAATCCTCTTCCAATGCCTGGATCTGCTGTTCTGCTTTCTGTTCCCTGCCATATCTTCCTATCCTTTTCCCTTTGCAATGTGCCACACACCAAGGCTACCTGTGCCATGCATGCCACAGGTTGACTACTCCTGGGCTAGACTCTGATGATATAGAAACACTCTTCCCCTAGAAGAGACCAGAACTCTCTCAATAGGGACCTCCCCTTGCTCCTCAGGGCATGCCTATCTTTCTTTCTCTTGCTTGCTTTCTCTGGACCTACAATCCATTGCTAAGCATTAGCTAAGCTTCAACAGAAGGATTTGAAAGTGCCCCATCCAAGCCAGGCATATATCCTGAAAGTTAGGGCAATCTCCTGGAAGTAGAAAACATGGATGTGAACTCAGTCTGAGAAAAGCATTAAACTCATTGCCTCCCATTTCCTGGATAAGTGCTCTGACCTTTAGGCTATTAGAAAAATAGGTAGTACAATCAGTACCTTCGAAGAATGAGCCAGTTACCTGTATACAACGGGATGACTGAGAGAGAGTTTTTGAGCTGTTCGTCCTAGTCTCAACACAGATGCCTTATTCGGGGCTCCAAGTAGGTACCAACATCTGAGAAGAGGCACAATTTCAGATGCACAACCCCTCTTCCCATTTCTTATTGGCTGGTTTAAGCATTCCTCCATTAGGTATGATGAGTTTTGTGAATCTTAGTCCTAGACAGCTAACTTTCAGAAGTGCAGGGAAGTTTGGGCTGGGAATTCTACTCCTGGATGCATAAGTCCCTTGGTTAAGCCTCAAGCTAGTCACTTACATTCAAACTTGTGACCTTGAAAACTCCTGTTGAGCTAGTCCCTAACTCTAGAGGAGCCTCCCTATCTTACCTCTTTTGAATATCCAAGCTTCCAGAGGCATCTTAGTTTTTGACATTGGTTAGCCCTATTTCTAAAGTTCTGCTTGTGGACTCAGTGTTGACAGAGTTGAGTACGATATATTACTAGTTTAAAATAGTCTAATAGGTCTAGTAATAGTCATTAGTCATATCTCATTTTAGTTTTAATACTTTGTTTTAGTAATAGTAAGCTAAAACATTTTTTCTGTGAGCTTTGATTAGACAAGAATTAGTAAAGATAGACGTGTGTTATACTTACCATGATAACTAAGTACAAAGAAACCACTTGTTGTGAAATCACTATGGAACTTGATTAGAATCTGATTCGAGGTGCTGTAGACTGATTCCAAAGCGGTGTTGCCACTAAACTGTCCAATCTGAGGAGATGTTTGGTCTGGCCCATCCCTAATAGAAAAAGATATCAAAATAAATCCAATATTAAGAGTAGCATTAGGAAAATGTACAGGGCTTAGAAAGAGGTAGATAATTTTGGTAGATAGGTCATTTTTACTAATTCAGAATTTGTCTATTTTTACAAATGCATATTTAATGTGGAAAAGTTTTCTAAAATTGACTACACTAAAGATGTAGATTGACTCTACACACAAATAAATTAAACAGAATTTTCAAAGGTTGTGTATTCTCCTTTGAGAAGGAGGAAAGGTGTGAACTGGATGATGAGCTGGAAAATGCTTCCTGAAAGGATGTACATCATGGTGGTTCATGATTTCCCTGTGTGCAAGCTTTCCACCTATTACCCCTTTGAATGAACATGCTAAATTTTCTCTGCAGACTACATTTTATTCACTAAGTGGATTTGGAGGTGTGCCTCCCCCTATCTTACCTCTGTTTGAATATCCAGGTTTACAGATACAGACATTAAGGATACATAAACTATATCTAAAGTTTCTTCTCTCTTCTGCCTCTATCTTCCCCCATTCTACCAGTATGACCTCACATTTTCTTGTAATTAAGGCATATACAGATGGGATAAATAATGGACAGCATATAGTATTTATGGAGGCTAGGTGTAAAATCCTGGCCACACTGAAGTTGATGGCAAAACACCTATTAATATAATTGGGAACAAGATTTCATCTTAAGTCTGTATGGCTGTAGATCTATGCCAGTAGATTTTGTTTACTCTGTTGAAGCCATTTTTAAAGCAATGTCAGATGACAGAATTTCACATTCAAGTACCTGCTTTGTGGGCAGAATTACATGCTAGGATGCAATTTTCTGCACATAATGTTTACTGTAGGTATAATATTATAGGCCATTTAAAAATGTGGCTTTTAATATTCTGAAAGATTCTTAAACAACTCTATACTGTGCACAATGTCACATCAAGTTTTATATCAGTAGCTGTGTCTTGTTGGCTCAGTAAATCATTTATGTAAATACCCTCCTTTAAAAGTGTTTTCTTATTTCTCTATAGTTGTAATTTTGGGTAAATTGGTTCATTTAAAAGAAAGTGCTTAGCAGTAAAGAAATACAATTGATTCTGGCACATGCACAATTTTATGTGGCATTTATATTTTCTTCAAAAATCTTAAACATAAAGAAGGTACTTAACTCAAAGAATCTCATCTTTTGTGTGCTAGTAAAAATATAGAAACTCATGTGTCTTGGTTTTTGACTAGCTAAGCAATTTATCTGAAAACAAACAGGCTAGTAGAAACCAAAAATTTATTGGATAAATTGAATCATAGATACTAGAGATGGGAAAAACCTGGCAGGTCATCTAAGCTAACCTTTGCAATATGTAGGTTTGTTCATAATGACTATTCATGAGTGCGTTGTTTAGCCTTACTCAGAGTATCTTCAGTGATGAATCTCCCATAACTGACCTCAGGAGACTATTTCATATTGTAACTCAATTCTGCATTCCAATTCTATTACCATGCCTTCATTCCTTCAAGCTATATGCATTCAATCTTTCCTGATATGATGATTTCTTGCATTTATCAATAACAATATTTTATACCAATATGCTTAAAGCTGGGCACACAGTATTGACAATTTACTTCACTACCTAGTCCTTGAACAGCTCCTCAGCATAAGAGTGTGGAAATTCTGCTTCATGGAGAATTTAGAGGGTTTGAAATCTGGCTTCATTCCAAGCCAGAAGGGGACCCCCAACATTTCTAAACTATGCACAAAATAAAATTAAAAAAAAATCCAATTGGCCAAAGCAGTTTTCTTTATAAAATTTCATATTATAATATGTAATATATAATACAATGAAAAACGTTTTTAAAAATAATTTCAACTGCAAAGGTTGAAACTGGGCATTTTGATACAGGTGGAATTCTTTTCCAGGTATTTTTGGTGAAACTGACACTTTATGAAGCATTTTACTTTTGATGGAACTGTATTTTCAGTAAAAGATGATTCTGCCAATTTTGTTCTAAGATCTTGGATTTCATATGAAAGTGCCTAAGAGGTACTCCAGTAACCAGAAGATTATTTAGCGTATGTGTCCTTGTGTTGTGTTCCAGATGTCCGAGAGCACTAGGGCCCCATTCTGTTCAGTTCAGGAACTAGATTTATAGTTTAATGATTCAACTATAATTATCTCTTGATCAACTCTTATATATTAGTAAAAACAAGGTCAAGAATACATTTTCTTTTTGTGTGTTTAAAAAGCATCCAATCCCCCACCTCCAAACTCAAAATTGTATGCGAAGCCAAAGGATCACTTCCTAAAACTATTCCTAATGTGACACTGGAACACATAATATTTGTACCCAGCTGAAACTGGCTGTTATCATATTCTAATTTCTTTTGTTTTGGTTTTTTAAATATAGTAGCCTCCAATATCAGTCAATATTTGTATTCATTTTGTTTCCTTGATCAGAAGGCTGATTTCTTGATTTAGTGAGACCATGGAGTTCTCATAAGGTTAGGTTGCAGAGAAACTGGCCACAAAATTTACTTTACGTGGAGATAGTTACTGGAATATTATTCAGTATATACTATAAATAACAACTCCCAATAGATAAATTATCAAACTACTAGGTCTGATCCTTCACCAAGGAAGCCAAAGAGTATTTTACCATTGATTTTAATGGGAACAAGATTCCCTGATTTTTTTATCCATAAAGTGTATTTTATTATTGTTTAATTACTTCATGAGACAAAATATTATAAGCCAATATTACAATTACTCTAGTCTTGCAAATTATGCACTTATTGTCACTAGAAGGAACACAGACATTAAGTAGAAATCCATGACAAATCACTAAGGTGTTATTTTTAATTTCTGCTTTGTTACATAGTGTCAAATGTAGAATAAATCGATGATAAAAGTGCCTGCTTACCAGACAGTTATGAAATCATATATTGGCTCTGTTTGAAGAACTGTAAAATTGATGTAGATTCCATTCCCAGGTGGAACTCTTACAAGCCAAAAGCAGTCTTGAAAGTTGGGATATTCATCAGGGTACCCGGGAGAGTATATGGTGCCATTCATTGCAGTTATGTTTCCACCGCAGAGAGCTACAAAAGAAGCATTTTTTTTGTTTAACTGCAGAAGTATCAAATACCTTTGGTATTCTTTTTTACATAGTGAGTGCTGTTAAATCTGTACTTGCAAAACACCTTCAGCATTCCTATACTTTAATTCGATTGTGAAAAATTAAAGTAGTAAAGCTGTAAATAGAACATAAGTAGTACTGAGTTTCTTACAAAGCATAAGGAGGCTCAATCCTGAATTTTACAGTCAAATCTACCAGTAATCCTGGAATTCTCAACAATTCTGACTGAGTAAAGACTTCATGTTTGGGCTTTCAATCTATTTTGACAACGGACTAAATTCAGGCTCGTCTTGTACAGGAGTACAAGGTAAAGAAGGACAGGAAAATTGATTTTTTTTGTGACCCTAGGTAAGCCAGACACAAACTGTTTGACAGTACAGGAACTCCTGCCTCTATTACTCATAAGGCATCTGTAAGAGATGAAGGACAGGCAGTGTTGGCTTGGGCATGTGTGTCCACTTTCTCCACAAAAGAAGGATGGGTACAAAATATCCAATGTGCCATTGCTTGAAAAGTAGCTGTGTGTTCCTTAGGAGTAAACTTGCAAAAGGCCTCCAAAGCAGGTGTGACTTGACATGGTGGAATATGGATGTAGGTACACTTCTACACTGGATGTGAATATACTTGCTATGGCCTATACCTATCTACCTTGGCTCTTTGGTATGTGAAGGTGTACAAAGTTATTAACTGGTTCTCTGTAGCCTTAGCGATTGACACGTGGCATTTGTGCTGCTTTTAGACTTGCTGTGTCCACATAAAGATGCAAAGGCTTTGAGGCGATGCCTTTAACTATACAAAGGGGAAACACAACAAGTGAGATTTGTGAAAGGCTTTATCAGAACCATGTATTTTAGAAAAATCAGAATTCTAAAGAAATTAAAATTAATTCAATTGACACTTCAGGAAAGGAAATCAAAGTGATAAAACATTAGTGAAATCTGATTCAGGTTGTTTGCTTTAAGGAGGATAGAGCTCTTCAAGAAACCTTAATTTTAGAGTAATTTAAGACAAATATATTTAAGGAAATATAAAATTTAAAAATGTTCACTCTCTGGTTAGACAGACAGAGAAAAATAAATGTTATTTCTATGCTTTGGAGAACAGACACTTATTCTCAATTAAAACAAAGGCAGGTAAAAATATCTGATTATCAACACACGTCTTCAACAGAAATACTGTGGTAGGTGAAATGTAAGTTGAACTGCAAATATGTTGTTGGCCTGGAATACTTAAGTTTAACTATCCTGCTTTTCACAATTTAGAGTTTTTAGCTATAGATCAGAGCAGGAAGGGCTTTGATCCTGCATCATACACATCCAAGGCCTTTATCCCCAGTACAGGCTCTCTATCATTCCTTCTGATGAGCTTTCAAGGAAAGTGTTAATACTTGCATGTCATGTGTCAACTTGAAAATGAAAGATTTCTGAACAGCTCTACAGAGAAAACATTTCTGTTCTAAAAATACAGGCCTTCAAATTCAGCTGATACGCAGTCTCCAATAACTGTCTCCAGAATCCATCATAAGCAGGCCTTCTCAGGCCAGCTATTAGATACAAGAATAAATTTAAGAAAAAAAAACACAGAGGTCTGATTTGGCCTAAAGAGGTTGGGATATACAGAGGGGGTATACATACCTTTACTCAATACATACCTTCACACCTAGGAAGAGGGTGGTTCCAGTTACGACTGATTCCATGTAGACAAGTCAGTGCTGAATTTCCAATTAAGGTGTATCCAGGGAAACATTCAAATGAAATAGTTTGTCCTACAGTAAAGTCATTCCCAATCACAAAACCATTTCGAAATGGCCGGGGGTCAGGACAACTTTGTAACTGGTAAGCTGAAAGAAATAATTATAATTTTAAAGAGTTCTAGGTTGGGCTATCAGTTGTGATCTGTATCTCAGTGCTTTAGTGTTAGAAGCTTTAAAATTTGGAGAGAAAAAAGGAAGTTTCACAATGTTCCATCTTTTCTCTCAAATGCCATCAAATGAAGGAGAACCTTACAGTGTGAGTATCTTTGTGTATATAATTGACCTGTGAAATGAAAGACCCAGGTTGAAGGTCCTATTTTTCTTGATTCACAGCAAAGATTTCATCCTAGTTTATTCTAAGGCAGACATCAGAGGAACTTGACCCTGTCTCTCTCACATCCTAGGCAAGTAGTTGAAACATCCAGCTATGGAGTCTCTCTCAGCCTTGCTGATGAGGCCTTATAGCATGTATTTTTACCTTTAGGTATCTGCCATTTAGCAGTACTTTCTATGAGAAATGCAATGGAAATCAAATAGATTTTGGCCTATCTTATGGAAATGGGGAACAATAATCCAGTAGAAACTCCATTTGATACCATTTAGAAATCCTGGATTCATATGGGAAGTATGTCCATTACTGTACCCTTAGCAAGTTTCAGCATTCTCTCACTTTTGCTGGCATGTATTAAAAAGCACAGATTTGGAAGGTGTCTGTTGGGGTAGAAGATAGAAACATCTTTGTACTTTAGGAAGCACCAGGACTGACTTTTGTCTGGCTCTGGTTTAGGCGAAGAAGAGTTTCATAGTTGGTAGGGTAAGAAGGGACCTGAGCAGATCATCAAGTCCGCCCCCCTGCCATGGCAGGGAAGAGTACTGGGGTCAAATGACCCCGGTGAGGTGTTCATCCAGCCTCCTCTTAAAGACCCCCATGGTAGGAGCCAGCACCACTTCTCTTGGAAGTTGGTTCCAGATCCTAGCCGCCCTGACAGTGAAGTAGTGCCTCCCAATATCTAGCCTAAATCTACCCTCTGCCAGCTTCTGACCATTATTTCTTGTCACTCCTGATAGTGCTTGGGGGAACAGGGACTCCCCCAATGCCTGCTGGTCCCCCCTGACCAGTTTGTAAATGGCCACTAGATCCCCCCTCAGCCTTCTCTTGTGGAGGCTGAACAGGGTTCAGGTCCCTTAACCTCTCCTCATAAGGCCTGCCCTGCTGACTCCTGATCATGCGAGTGGCCCTCCTCTGGACCCTCTCCGTGTTGTCCACATCCCTCCTGAAGTGCGACACCCAGAACTGGATGCAGTACTCCAACTGCAGCCTGACCAGTGTCGCACAGAGGGGGAGGATTATGTCTTTGGACCTGCTTGAGATGCATTCATCCCCAACTAGATCATCCCAGCCAAAGCTTTATCTATCTGACTTTTATAAGCCTCCAAGAATGGAGCTTCCACCAACTCTCTGGGTGATCTGTTCCAGTGTTTTACTACCCTACTATCTAATCTAAACTTCCCTTGCTGCAACTTGAGACTGCTGTCCCCTGTTCTGTCACCTGCCACCACTGAGAACAGTCTAGCTCCAACTTCTCTTGAACCCCACTTAGTAATACCCCCTAATACTTTATAGGTTTGCAATGGTCTCTCTTCCAATATGTACTGTATAGCTGCAGCTGTGGTATAAAATACTAATCACAAAAATATTTAGCTCTTCCAAAGTACTGCATATCAGTAGACTTAAAAATGCTCTTCATGATTCATAGATTCATAGATGTTAGGGTCGGAAGGGACCTCAATAGATCATAGAGTCCGACCCCCTGCATAGGCAGAAAAGAGTGCTGGGTTCAGCTGACCCCAGCCAGATGCCTATCTAACCTCCTCTTGAAGACCCCCAGGGTAGGGGAGGGCACCACCTCCCTTGGGAGCCCGTTCCAGCCCTTTCTAGTCTCTCCTCGTAGGGCTTGGTCTGTAGGCCCTTAACCATACGAGTGGCCCTTCTCTGGACCCTCTCCAGGTTATCTGCATCCCTCTTGAAGTGAGGCACCCAGAATTGCACACAGTACTCCAACTGCAGTCTGACCAGCGCCTGATAGACGGGAAGTATCACCTCCTTGGACCTATTCGTCATGCATCTGCTGATGCACGATAAAGTGCCATTGGCTTTTCTGATGGCTTCGTCACACTGCCGACTCATGTTCATCTTGGAGTCCACTAGGACTCCAAGATCCCTTTCCACTTCTGTGCCACCCAGCAGGTCATTCCTGAGGCTGTAGGTGTGCTGGACATTTTTCCTCCCTAGGTGCAGCACTTTGCATTTCTCCTTGTTGAACTGCATTTTGTTGTTTTCTGCCCACTTGTCCAACCTGTCCAGGTCTGCTTGCAGCTGTTCCCTGCCCTCTGGCGTGTCCACATCTCCCCATAGCTTTGTGTCATCTGCAAACTTGGACAGAGTACATTTCACTCCCTTGTCCAAGTCGCTGATGAAGACATTAAAGAGTATCGGTCCAAAGACCGAGCCCTGCGGGACCCCACTGCCCACACCCTTCCAGGTCGAAACCGACCCATCCACCATGACTCTCTGGGTGCGACCCTCTAGCCAATTCACCACCCACCGGACTGTGTAGTCATCCAAGTCACAGCCTCTTAACTTGTTCACCAGTATGGGGTGGGATACTGTATCGAAGGCCTTCCTGAAGTCTAAGTCTCTCTTTATATTAATTTATTCATATGGCACAAAACCTAATTTTTCAGAAATAGTTTCATTTAAATAAGTGAATAAAATCTGACTATGAATATCAGGATGTCAAGTCATGTAATGATTTTTTATATATGCACCGATGTTTTCTAGTAAGGTATGCTCTCAAATGGCTTCCATGATGTTATAGAATCTAAAGCTATTTACCTACAAATGTAACCCTTTTCCTTTTGAAAGCATGCATAGTGTAACAACCTCACCACCTCTTAAAAGCCACACATGAAAATGGTAATTGTATTAAAAATTGGATCCTTTTTGCAAACAGTACAGACTTATTCCTTGCAAATGAGTCTGTAGTCATGGAACTTAACGCAATGATATATCGCTAGTTCATGAGGTTCACTTGTCTGAGAACTTTCCAAAGCTGGGCATTCTCACAAGTTGCTGCTTAAAGTAGATCTGGGCCCCTGGCATATGTTACACTTATGAGGTGATTAATGTGTTAATCATATCATAAACAGTAAGCTTGACACATATTAAGGCAATTAATGACACAACAGAAGGAGAAAGGGCTGAAAGGACAGCATAGGAAGCACTGCATCAGAAATCAATACTTGGTACTGTGCTTCCCGCAATGCCCTTTGAACATCCAGGCAGGTGGGAAACCCAGGATCTGGGACTTAGTCTTCCTACCGATGGGCTCCCCATCCTCCTGTAATATGATTTGGATTTGACAAATGTTATGCCAGATCCCAAAAAATCATGCCATGTGTTTTTGGGAATCTGAGATAAAATGTGTTGCATCCTGATCATGCAATTAAATTAATGTCTAGATATTCACTGAATGGCATTATGCACTCAGTGCTCCAGAATGATGTTATGAGGCATTATGATACAAGACATTAAACTGGGGCTCTTGTTTCTTTTAGATTATTAAATATTGTAAAAGTTATTTTGCAATAAGCAGGCATATTATCACCAAAATATTGTCCAAATTCCAGCAGGTTTAACAGCATATAACATTCATGTTTTGTTCTAAATCATCATGTGCTGTGAACTGACGAGCTTTTCCATCCCACCTTAGTACTGTCCTCATTATCTAACACATAACACAGCAGTTTTGAATTGTGGACAAATCTTTTTTTCCAAAATACACCTTCATGTTTATCTTCTAACAAAGAAAAGAAAAAAAATCCATTAATAAACAGCTTGTTTATGCATACGTGTATCAAATAACTCACCTTGATATATAATATGAAACCCTTGTTTGTTCTGTGAATAGTCACTGTGAAAATATAAGCTGGTTTCATGGGTGGTACTAAACAGAGGAGATGGTAGCTGAGGACCACTAAGTCTCCCAATAACAGTACTAGTCTCAGTAGATCCACTTCTTACTTCTAAGTAATCGTGTATTGTCTCAGTGGAAAAATTTACAAACTGCAAATGCACTCCTGGAAAATAATATTGGTAAACAAAAGCATGCGGTATCAATAAGATGAATATATTCAACTATGCAAACTATATCCTGATAACAAGAGGTAACGGTCATATGGAATGTTGATATCAGACATATGGAAATAGTGGAACGAGATTCTTAACTTAAACCCATCAACTCAGAATATAATCTTGACTACTCCGAATAAAACCTTCTTTCCTTTTCTCCAGTGGTGCTCAATTTTTTGGCTCCATGGGACAGATAAGTGGCATGAGGCTGGTGTGGAGGCCTAATCAGTCCTGTGCTCCCTGACTAGGTCTCATGCTGCCCTAACTGGCCCCATGCTCTCAATCTAGCCTGCAGTGCCATGCTAGCACTCTAGATCCAGGGAAGCAGCAATTAGCTGCCACAGATCCCATTCTGTCAAATGTCCAGACCTTTAGGGAGCCCCATGGGCCAGATAACATAGCTCTGCGAGCCAAATCTGGCCAATGGATTGGGCATTGAGCACCACTGCCCTTGTCTAATATGAAGAAAAGATAAAGATTGCTGCTATTGCAGGTGTTATCAACCCAAAAGGATGAAATAAAGCCCTGAATCTGTGATTGTTCTTTTGTATATTCTGGCAAAGAAAAAAGGACTTTTAGCCCCAAAGTCAAATTTTACTATTGGTAATTACATTTGCCTATCTAGAATCTCCTTCTAGATTCAGTTAGATAGAGCTTACTTGGATTCCTTTGAAAAGAAAAAGAAACCATAAAAGTAGTACTTGGCTGAAAGCTCTCCAAGGAAATCATAGGTTACTGCGTGAAGTGGAATTTCAATGGGAAACATTATTACTATTTATATATTATTAAGACGACAGCAATCAATTGCACCTAAAAAACAGGTGCATTTCAGTGGTAGATAAAGTTATATCTAAGTATAATATAATGCAGAGTGTTTTGAATTTTTATGTCTTACAGAGCATTAAATCAAATTAATGAAATGAATGAATAATGCATCCATAACTTACTTGCGCTTAAAAAAAACAAAAAGAAAACAAAAGAATCTAATATTATGGGATACATTTATCAGTGCCTCAACCTAATAATTAAACATGCAGTTCCTAGCAAACTGTGCTATATGATGCTCTTGTAAACAGAGAGAGACTTTTGATTGATTCAATGATGAACAACAGGAAGCTTATTATATGAGTGGTAGCTAATCTATCTGATCCAGATGACTTGTTACAAATATTAGAGGATGGTGGGGGGAGAAGTTGATCATCCAATTATTGGAAAGAGGGCTCTTTAAACATTTTCTTTTTTTATAGTGTTCTCAATAAGGTACAATTAAACAGGTTTTGTTTTGTTTTTTTCTGTCTGAAGTGATCTAGCGCAAGTATAGAATGATAATGCAGTGCTTCAATTACAAAGATGATTGACCCCATCAGTTGTTCTGGCAAAGACAATCACTATGATTTAATATAATGTTTAATAGAAAACATGTAATGGCAATTTAATTATTCAAATGCCATAAATATTTTTATAACTATCTACACCTTAATATCTAAAGGGAAGTTTGTCACTACATCTTAGAGATTTGTTGTTGGACAACATACGCACCTTGTGAATGGTTTTCTAAGTCATATAACATTTTATTTTCTACAGGAAAAAAACCCCACTTTACTATATGATTTAATTATAGATACAATTACTCTTTTATATATAGAAAGTGCAATGTCATTACATGCCTGTGGCTTCCTCCTTTGGTTTTGCAATCTCCCAATTTAACTTTTACATGGTCAAAAGGAGAGCAAGCAAATGGAGAACAACTCTTTAGCCATTCAGGTGGTCAGAAAGTGGAAGGAAGATGGGGCAGATGGATTCTGGTCCCTGCTGCTAGATTAATTTTTGATTTTTAACCATTGTCTCTCTAATGTAAAAATGCATATAGAAGTCTAAAAATAGCAATTAGAACTGTGCTTTGTGCTGAATTTGAGGTTATCTGCGTCAAATTAGTTGTGTTCTACAAATACCTAACAGGTGGGGATATAGGTAGCATTTAGATCTTGCTCAGCTCTGATCAATACTTTAATATTGCTTAGATGGGAGTTCGCACAGAAGTGCTTGATCTGCATTGCTTCTAAGCACCAAGACATATTTGCAGACCAATCACAAGTATCTAATTGTTTTGCAGATGCTGAGTATAGTTGATCTCAATGTATTTTTTCTGACTTGGGCTTCTAAATTCTGCCTAAAGATTGTTTGAGAATGATTTGGATCTTGTCCTAAATTTTCTGAGGATTAGGTCCACACTAGGCATGCTCTAGACGGCAGCCAAGCAGGATTTTCTCTGACATGCAGCTCTGGGATCAGTCTCTCTATGCAAGCTGAGAACAGGAAACATTTCTCTCCTATGTTCTCAATGATCCCACAACCTCTGCTGGAGGAAGAATATCACTGATTTGGATAAAAAAGGAACAGGAACCAGACCTGTGAAGGCTAGTGGGGAGAAATGGAGGTTGTGACTTATTGGGCATAGTGATGGGGTCTCTAAAATGGGGGGAAAAGAGTCAGTAGATGAGTAAGAAACTAAGATCTCATGATGAGTTGTTGGCAAGACTGGAGATTGAGAACCTGTACTGAATTAGGAACAGGTGAGGAAGGAGGGGAACGGTTCTGAGGAGCTGGGTATAGGACAACTGGGACCGTCTGGTCAGAGACCAGAACAAGAATGCAGGCAGAAGAACAAAGAAGCTAGGCACAGAACCGGAGAGGCCTGGGGCTGTGTACACATGCTCAAGTGATCTGGGAGAATTCTTCTGGGTTTGCTCTCGTGGTAGAAAAAAATTTACTTGGAGATGCCTGAACAAACATTTGAATACTATGTCCCTGAAGAGCAGAGAGCTTGATGTGCTGATGGTGCACAATCAGGGAGTCCCTGTGAACATATTTCAGTGTGCTGTGCAGGCTCCCAGTCAGCCTGGTGAGAAACAGAAGCAGGATACAGGGTAGTCCTGACTGATTGACCCAGACTATCTCACAGGTTTTGTTTTCCTGTAGCATAATGTGGGGATTGTAAAGGGGTCGTGTTCTGCCTTCTGTTTTGCTGAAGCAGCAGAGTCCAGTGAGCAACACACTGTCTTCATGCAGGGAAAAGAGAGGAGCAAAGCACCCTGGAATGCTGGAGGACTGGGCAATGGGTTCGCTCAGAAGGGAACATGTACACACACTGAATCTTCCAGGAGAGCCTCTCCTCAAAGTCATTTAACCCTGGTTATCTCCAGGTTATTTTGCTCTGGGAGAAAAATCCTAAAGACCATTATACTCATGGTTTCTCCTGGGAGAAAAGTTACTGTCCCAGTGGAAATTGAATGTCTGTACATGGTCTAGGACTGGTAGAAATGAGTATCAGGGACACAAGCACTGGAGGCAGGTTTGCCTGGAGGGCAATGTTAGGGAGAGGACCCAGGGTCTTGGACTGCTTGGTCAAGGAGACTGGGAGCATCATATATACATTGTTTTCCCTTCATAGATTTCTTGCTTGTTTAGTGAACAAGGTGATGAATCAGGGAACTGACATCAAAATTATGTCATTTCTATAGCATCCTTAGATTCATTTATAGTGGATGAGGCAGGTGATCACAAAAGAGAAAAGGGACGTTTAAAGCAGCTAAATGCTGACCTGAAGAATATGGTTGTTTCCGTGATGCTGCCACAGGAAATCTGTGTGATACAGTGATAGGCAAATTACTTAACCAGTAACCATTCATTCCCTATTTTCTTAGTGCCTGCCTGATCTGAGATAAGGCACTTTGATGTACAGATTCTGAGCACACACAGCTGCAAATGAAAGAAACTCCCTGCTCTGATTAATTACCTACTGGGCAAATAATCACTTTAAACACACTTTTACATGGACTTTTTCACTCTTAAGTATACAGATAGCCAAACAAACACAACACACAATATGTTAACTTTGTGGTTAAGAGAAATGCAGAAAAGGTGCTGGAAAATGTAGTTTTAACATTTTTGGCATTTGTTTTTATTTCTTATTGTTATTTATGTTTATATATACTAATATAAATTTCTCTCTGTGGGAAATGCCCTGGAATAAAGCAACATACATGCTCTAAAAATAAAACGCCGATAATGATGGCTAAGCTTTCAAAATAGTCAATTTTAGTTTCATGTTAAAAAAAAACGTGCAAGCAAATGAGTAGCTGGAGCTATAGCAATTTTATTATTTTCTGTATGCATACATGAAAACAATACATTTCTCTAAATTAAATCTCTTTTATGATATGGACTATTCCTAAAACATATTTTAAATCAATTGGCCAATACAAATATTTAAAATGTTATAAAGATTGTTTCACCATTCTAGAATCATAACAACAAGCAACCGGATAATCCTTGAAAGCATACATACCAAAGCCAATAGGCAGCCTGATTGTCCATGTACAATCTAAACTGCTGGGATAGTTGCCAGGAAACCCAGGGCTAAGGATCACTCCACTGAAGTCTGACATACCACCGCCGCATTGTGCTGCAGAATGACAGAGATTCTTGTTGGGTAAAGGTAGAGAATAAATCAGTTCAAGCCTTCACATCGCAAACTTAACTGTACTTAATTTTTAAATGAGTAATTTTATATTTGAAATGTGTATAATTCATTATCTCATCTTAACATTATATTTGTGTAACAATCTTCTACAAACAGGCATTGTAAAAGTGATACTGATTAACCAGGTTTGAGATTAGGAGAATTTGACATATGTGTAGAAATGCAGGTCAAAATGTGCCTTCACTCCATGTGTCTGACCCATTTTTTGAGCAGACAAGTACTGCAATTCAACACTCAGTCATATTGGCACAATTCCTAGTGGACTTGTGCAGGTGTATCTGAAGCTGAATGTATTGAAAAATACAAGCATCTTACTCTCTGAACTTTTCAGAAAGCATTTTTAAATGCAGTATTTCAGTACCCAGTCTCATAAAAAATGAAGCAGCTACAACACACAGAGTGAAGAAAAGGTAAAATATGCACACACACACATCCATAACTTCAAAGAAACCAATTCCTTAGGGCTTGATGTCTTAGTAACATAGTGATTTTAATATTTATTTACTTTGTAGTGCTAGATTTAAAAAGTAAATGTATGTTAAGAAACCGAGATGACAGATTGGCTGAATACAACTTGAAGCCAGCTTCAATTTTTACCTGCTAGCCTTAGCTATATTCCTTTAAAATATTTTTAAACTACTGTTTACATGCTAAAAAAACTCTACAAAATACTAAAGTTTTAGGTTGAGAGTAAGGATTTTTCTTCAGCATTTACTTCCTAAAGTAGTATGAACAGAATATCCAACTGTCTGCATAGTTATGAGTATTATCTTTTCATTCATATCAAGAGAACTGATATTGATGAAGACAGAGGAAACTAGAGGCATGATCTTGAGAAGCGTTAAACAATTTTTGAACGTTATTAAGCACCCATAATTGGTGGACCCTAGTACCTGAAAGGAAGTGCTTACTACCTGGCAGAATTAGGCTGTCTATCACTTAGGTCAGGAGTCTCTTCGGCTCAAAACAGTGCAAGTAGTACATATTGCATGCAAACTTAAAACGTGACGTGCAGCAACCTTCTCTGTGCAATAGCAAAATAACAAGAAAATGTGTGGGTAGGAAGCCTAAAGGATTTTTATTTTTAACAGATACAAAAGGATGGAGTACTGTAGTTCTAAGAATTGTTTTTCATGTATCTTTTGTATAGAAGTGTGATGGCACAGCAGTTAAGATGTCTTGATATAGCTCCAGAAGCATGTATTCAAGCGTTGCTCTGGATTCATTCTCAAGACTGGTCTCCACTCAACTCAGATGTAAATGACTGGTCTCTTGGACTGGGAGTCAGAGGCAGCTAGAAACAAATGCTGACCATATAGCTGCCTACTGTGGCATTGGCCACATAAGCTCGTATGGCTTAATCAGGCTAGCCAAAGGTGTTATCTGGGTTCACATGAACACTGACCGATATATTTTAATGCAGATCAAATGCTTCCTTTGGTATTTTGGCAAGCTGCTAATGCAGCGGTCAGCACTACATAACTGGCTATCTCTGCAGCTCAACCTTTGAAATAATGTACCTGTAACAGGGAATCCTTGCCCTGTTACTCAGACAAGCAAGCAAAACTTGGGAGGGTCTTTTAAGTCCCAGGAGATAGACCTGCAGACAGTAATGCCACTAGGGAAAAGCCCCTGGAAGCAAGCAGCCATAGGGAAAAAGGAGACAAACTATTGGCAATGACCAACAGCCCTGTCACAGATGTAGTGAAAACAAGCAGAGCTAAAAGGACTAATGAGGGACCACAGTGCTCACACCAAGTGATAGGACTGGCTGGCTAGAAGGAGAGAGACTTGCAGGTATAAGAAACTCATCCTTAAACCAGCAAGCTCTCTGTAGCCCTGGCTGGGGAAGGATGGCAAGCTCCCAGGCAGGCTGCTATAGAGATGGGAGTCACGGTAAGGGGAGCCCAGGCATGCAAAGGGAAAGAAATTTCTTTTTCGTGCTCTCCATTTGCCCAGAGTGGGAATGATTTCAGTTCACGTTATTCTGAGTGTTGTGAGTACCTGGAGAGACTGTACATTTTTGTTGTGATCGGGATAGTAACATCAGGAAGACTGGAAGTGGCTGTGAGGGGAGGCTTGGAGGCTGCATCACTGGTGCCTTAAAGTGCCCTGTGAGGTTTTAACCCCCAGCAAGGCTGGAAACCTAGTGAGGGGGGAAGCATTTTTGCAGGGTTACAAGACCCCAGTAGGAATGGGTATAGCCCCTCCATAGCCTGAAGTCCAGAACATGAGAAGTTTAGTCCAGTGAGAGCAATATGGACCAAAGTGGGGGCTTAGCCACCCCAGCAGAATGGCTACTGTCTCAAAAGCCAAGGCCAGAATAAGGGGCCCAAGATAAAGGCAGCAGAAAAAGCAAATACACCAAAATCCACAGGGTTAATGCCTGGACAGGTGTGACCTACTGAACCTGGTGGCTCTAAGAAGGGATTATGACTGATTGACACCCATGAAGTCTGGATGCAGCTATGGGGGGACCGTGGAGGCCACAAATAAAGCCCTCAGGTGAATTAGCACCAGCTGGGCTGTAGCTGGGCTGACTGAGATGGCTGAAATTTTGCCATTCCAGTCAAGTAAGCCCAGATCAAGACATCTCAAGGAAAAAACACACCTCCAGAGCTCTGGGCACTTATCTCAGGACTATTTATTTTATCCAGGTGTGGCAGGTGAGACACCGGGTGGCAGTACAGAAGAGCTGGGGTCAGGCAGGCTAGCCCAGCCGCAAGGAGCACTGTTACTGATGTTGAGGTTAGGCTTGTCCCAGTACCTTCTTAAGCAAGGAATATTTGATGTTAGAATCAGAAAAAAACTGAGAACTGCAATTATTTTTTATTTAAATTGGTTCTGTAGGACATATTACCTAAACAAATAATATATACTTAGTTCCATCTGAAGAAGTTCCATTTCTAGAAGACTTGATTCTTCTTCTCATCTCTCTTCCATAATATAGGAGATTCTGCTTGGTATATATTTCTGTCTTTCCTCTACCAGTTTGATTATTCGGGGAAACCTTCACAAAATAGGGCCTGTTTGCAAGGTAGACGTATAGACTCGAGGCTAGTCTGAATTCTTTTGTACATTTTTTTCCACAAACAAACCCTTTGATTCAGGATGAGAACACTTCATCTCTAACCTCTTGCACAGTTTTCATTCTAGCAACATGAAAAATAATTATAACATCCAATAGACATACCCAAACATATGGGAATAGGGTAATTCCATCTTCTCACTGGTCCAGGCATACAGGTGATATGTGAATGTCCCTATGATTATAAACATTTATTAATACATGGAACAAATACACACAATCACCTCCATTTTACTGCTATAACAAGAACCAAGATATTATAATCTCTGACATCTTCAATATGAAAATGTAATTGTATTGTAAATTTAATTTGTACCTTGACCTTCAGTAGGATTGGGTGGATAATGTAACCCTTACTTATGTGACTATCAACCAGTTTAGAGAATTGTACTCATGGTCTGTAGTAATAGATAGATAGATAGATAGATAGATATCTATCTATCTATGTCAAAGGGTTAAATGGGTCATAAGAAAATTAAAAAGACTTTTTAAGAAGATGATTTAAGGTACCAGAAATTAAGATATTTGAAGTACAGGATAGTTCCACTTTAGAAATAGTTCTCTGGGAAAAACAAAAAAACTAAGACAAGAACAAAAAGCAAAAAACATAAAAATACACACACACACACACGTTCTAAACTTGCCTTTTGATATTTTGAGCAATCCATATTAAACGGGTTCCCATACCACCAGGGGGCAGCCACTACCTGATTCAGCAGCTCATGCAATCATGACTATTTGGTAAACAGAGTGTAAAAAAAATATCTAAAGAGAGAAATGCATCTGGGCTCTGCTGAAAACCAAACAGTGTCTATTTCAATATGACCTTGGCAGGAAAAAAAGACAGTACCTCTGGCTGTTAGCCTGTTTGTGCAACCTTGAGTTGAACTGCATAGCTACTTCTAATGTTTAAGCTATATTTCACTTCAAAACCTATATAGCTGCAGGTACTGGATATTTGTGAAAAACACACCATTATGTAGAATACTTTATTAATTAGTTTGATGATTTCTCATATTTTCCTTTTAAAACAAGAACAACAACAACAAAACGAATATACTTCTGTCATTGGTCCAAGCATATGTTATTCATTCAGCACCGACACAAAGCCAAAGTGATAATGTCATGCTGTATGCAATAGCAAAACAGCAGGAAGAGGACTTTTATTTTTTATGTTTGTACAGTCTGTAGTCCATTCTTGCTTTTTTATCATGTTTAATTTATTTCATGTGTTCAGTAAGACATGTGTTCACACTTCAATATTCTTATATGAAATAAAACAAAGGTAAAAGTAAACCAGAAAATGCTTTGCTGCTCCCCTCAGAGACCCAGTGCAATCATCCTTACACGGTCTTCCTTTGCTGCACAACACAATTAGTAATCTGAGGCCTTCAGTAGGAGGAGAAAGGTCACAGTCAAAGCTGCAATCAGCACTAGAGCTGGGAGAGACCCATCAACTGTTCTTGGAAGTAGGAAGATCTTAGCCACAAGTAGGACCTCAGTTTAAGGGAAATAAAAGGAGGATAAGGACACTGGTTCCAAATCCAAATGACAGAGTAAGGATCTAGAGGAGGGAAACAATACAGGTCCAAAATTCAAATGGCATTTTAAGGATCTGGGAGAGGAGAAGAAAAGGCCATTATATCCAGGAAGGAAAACAAATAGCTGTTGCCAAAGCTTTGCTTTCTTAGCCCTAGCTCAAACATTTATTTGCTGCTCATACTGCCTCCTGTTGTGCTTATCACAGGGAGCACTAAATACCACAACAGCCACTTGCTTAACCAAAAGCAGAACAAACCTCATTCTGCTTTTTCAGACTCACAGGTATGTTTAAAGATTTGCCAATGGCATGGCTTAACTCTGCTCAGTTCAAAAACCTAGACTATGTTTGACTTTATGAACTCCATGAAAGTATGTTTCTGTTCATGTATAGTTCATCCTTTATAACTTATTCTGGCTATACAGTCCAGAACAGGATTTCAGGACTGTAATTCCTTTTAAACTACTGCTAATGTCAGAAGTGTGGAGAACCCCATTCTTTGATACAGGAACAGCACCATTCTTGTGCAAAAAAAAAAAAAAAAAAAAATAATAATAATAATAATAATAAGATTTGTAAGTTTGTATCTATCCTCCCTGGCCAGCAACCAGGGAAATTCTTTTTTCAGAGAGATTACAGCTGTGTTTCTGAAGTTCAACAGCTTTGTGAAGGACAGTTCTTAATCCTCAGTATTATGATGAAATGTAGCATTGCTGCTGGAGGCTGGGCTTGACCCAATGTGAAGAATAAATGGTGTGTCTAGCTGAAATGACAGGGTTACAAGAGTTTTATTGTCATTTGAAAGACAACAAGACACACCTACTGTTTTGCAGAATGTATTTTACTTAGGTCTATATAATTTAGACCATCTGTTTTTTGCTTATCCCCTGGTATTGGGGTCCTAATTACATTACACAGAGCAGCTAGAGGAATGATCTTGGTCCTCCAATCCTCATCCCTCCAATGCACAGTCAGTGACTGTTGTGAGCATGAGTGGCATTGTTGAAGAACTGCAAAGCAAAGGTATCGGTCTCTGCTTTCTTTTAGAACGTGTCAAGAATTCGTGGTAATGGGCTATAAAGCAGCATGAGAGCAGAAAGCTCATTGATAACATTCTCTTCATTTCAGGATGCATTACATTGCGTAACAAGTCCGGCAACATATTTTAACCGGGTAACAGAGATAGCATTGTGTTCTCTCCTTTTTAATGCTCTGAAAAACCCAAGTGAAATGAAGACTATTAATTTTAGTCTAATAGGTGAGGAATACATGCACGCACACACACACACACACACACACACACACACCCCCACACATATATACTAATATACTATTTGGAGCCTTAGCCCAACCATACAGTGCTAGGTTTTGCATTTGGTACTCTAGTTTGGCTATAAGAAGCATCAAAAGAAAATCCAAGCCTCTGATGGATAGACAAGTTCTTATTGGCTGCACATATCAGAAAATTGAAATAAGTAAGCTCATTTCAACAAAACTAATTGTATTTCATGCTTACTGAATGATCCCCAAATCTGTTTTCAGTGCAGGAGAATAGTTTACTTGTTTGGGGAGGGGAGGGTGAGGTGTTGGGAGTGGGGGAAACACACTTATTTCTGAAATCTGCCTTCAGGTTAAAACAAACAAACACACAAATGAACAAAAAAAGGAAATATATGAAAGAAAACTATTGGCTTTCCCAGAAAAAAACCATGATTTCCCATGAATATTAGTCAATATTCCCTTCCCACTCTCTGCTGTTTTTCCTTTCTCTGGTACTTTTCCTTCACCTCTTGCCCATCATGGTTTAATGATATTATTCATGAAATGATTTATTTAAACTGAAAATTATTAGCTCTCTAACCTCAGATCATGACCCATCACTAAACTAAGAATGTGTAAACAATAGTGAACAATAACCTACAATCATTATGCAGCAGAAATGTAGAACCGTGATCTCTGAAAGACAGTTTCATAGATGTTATATCTGATGGAGACAAACTTAAAAGCTTCATAACTATAATTTATTCCAGTATGTTGGCATTTTTAGTGTGGGCACAGTTTAGATTTATTTAGATATAAAGACATTAAAGAACTAAAAGAGAGAACTTGAAACTGAAAAATATCTGACATACCTGAAGGGAATAACCTTGATCACACTGGAAAGATACCACATCTCCAACCATGTATCTGTCTCCAATTTTAATTCCACTGCTAGGGGTCTGTGGTTCAGGACAAGAGTCTAAACCTATAGCTGTGAAAAATTGAGATGTTTAGAAATGAGAAAGCAAATATAGACAATTTCTAGTTTTATGCTGTTTGGGTTCATGGTGCATGTTGGTTTCCACTAATAATATAGAATGATAGAAAATTAGGGTTGAAAGGGACATTAGGAGGTCATCTATTCCAACCCCCTAGTCAAAGCAGGACCAGCCCCAACTAAATCATCCTAGCCAGGGCTTTGTCTAGCCGGGTGTTAAAAACCTCCAAGGATGGAGATTCCACCACCTCTCTGGATAACATGTTCCAGGGCTTTACTACCCTCCTAGCAAGAATGATTTTCCTAATATGTATCCTAAACTTCCCTTGCTGCAACTTGAGATTATTGCTCTTTGTTCCGTCATCTGCCACCACTGAGAACAGTCTAGCTCCATCCTCTTTTGAACCCCGCTTCAGATAGTTGAAGGCCACTATTCAATCTGTTCTCAGTCTTCTCTTCTCTAGACTAGATAAGCCCAGCTCCCTCAGCCTCTCCTCATAAGTTATGTGCCTTAGCCCCCAACCATTTTCATTGCCTTGCACTGGAGTCTCGCTAATTTGTCCACATCCTTTCTGTAATGGGGGCCCAAAACTGGACACAGTACCAGATACATTCTCACCAGTGCTGAATAGAGGGGAATAATCACTTCCCTTGATCTACTAGCAACACCCCTACCAATGTAGCCCAGTGTGCTGTTAGCCTTCTCACCAGCAAGGGCACACTGTTGGCTGATATTCAGCTTATTGTTCACTGTAACCTCCAGAGCTGCTGCCTAGTCAGTCAGTTCCCAGCCTGTACCGGTACATGGGATTATTCTGCTCAAAGTACAGGACTTTGCACTTGAACCTTATGAAATTACTTTTGGTCCAATCCTCCAATTTGTCTAGGTCTCTGTGGACATGTTTATACATGCCCCCAACTGCACAGGTACTAAATAACCACACAGTAACCACTGGTGTTGCACAGTCCTGGTAGCACATGGGTTGTTTCTGACCCCACTGTGCAGTAGCAATGAGCGTTGGTGTCATGTTTCATACCCGCTGATGCTATGTCACCGTAATGACAAGCACAATGCTGTGCTGAAGTACTGTATCATGTAAACACACCTTCTGAATCCTAACCCTACCCTGTACTTTATCTACTACTCCCCCTAGCTTGGTGTCATCTGCCAACTTGCTGAGGGTGCACTCATCAGATGGGATGCTGGAGATGCATCTTAGGTTTTTCTGGGACTGTTAAAATTCTGCCAACACGTTTGGACACAGCTAGAATGAAGACTTATTTTTATGTTTTGTAAACTATATTTCTGTATGTAAAATGTCTTGCTTTATTGAATGAACGATGTCACAAATAATGAGGGGTTAAAAAAATCCCAGGGAAAGA